CCCTAGTTGAGGAGCTAGTGGCAACTGATGGTTGGTTGCTGAGGGAGGAAAACTCATTTTCCAGTGAGGGTATAGTAGCTTGTAGGTTGTTCCTGCTCCAGTGCATGGCCCCACACCTGTACTCATATGAATGGTACTAATTGAACTTGGTGTGTTACTTTTAAAAAAAAGTGGTAAGTGGTACATGAAATTACATGGGGGATGTATTGGGGATGAGATCCAGTGGAAATGGAGGTGAGGAGAATGGTGGCTAGCTATAATCAAAATACTTTGTATACATATGGGAAATTCTAATTAATAAATTCTAACTAATAAAAAATTAATAAATGACAATGCTATGTTTTAAAATGCTCACCATGCCTGTAGGATTAAGTTCCAGACGCTTTAGGAAACCACATAAGGGTTTGCCTCATCTGATCCCTGGGCAACTATGTGTATAATCTCACTTCTCTGACCTCTTCGAGGTCCATCCATGAAAAATTGTTTGCTACAAAACATATTCATCTCACTGCCCTCACCATTGGTGTGACTTACTTTAACTTAAATATTTTTTCTATGTTCTCAGATTGACCAACACAATCTTCAGCATTAAGTCCAAACAATGCTTTTTGCCAATATCAGTGTGAGTAGTCACCTCTATGTAGTGCTGATTTCACGTGATGGCTTCAAGCACTTATCACACTACATTGTATTCAACTCTCTCATTAAGCCATTTTTTGCACCACAAAAGTACCACAGATATGGTGAGCTTTTAATGAATGAAAATTAGCTTTTAATGAATGAAAGATTACAGTGACAAATGAACAGAAAATCATGTAAATGACTGGAACAGAAGTTGAAGGTTAATTCCTCCTAGCTTTCCGGTTCATGTAATTGCACTTCAGATTGGCAGAAAAGTGGTCTTTGGGAAAAAAAATAAGAAAAATGGCCTTTTAGCCCTACAAATTCAGTTCACAAATAAGCAAAGCTGGCACAGCTACATCATTGACAATAAAACTAACACACACACACACACACACACATTGCCTCTCTGTGTGTCAGAGCTGTGGTGTTGTGTGATACACACATGAGTGTGTGAATGTGTGCATCCATGCATGAATGTGGAGGCCAGAGAAAGATGTCCAGTGTCTTCCCCTGTTGCTTTCCTCTTTCTACCTTGAGAACTGGAAGCTTACATAACCTTTTACCTAGGCTGGCTGGCCAGCAAATTCTCATAGACACCCCAGTGCTAGGGTTACAGGCAGGCATAGCCATGACCAGATTTTGCTTTTTGATTTCTTTTATGCAGATGCTAGGGATTTGTACTCAATTCCTCTTTTCCACAAAACCATTTCCCGTGTCTCTCTAACAACATTCTTAACAAGGTGCATCGCTAAGTAAGATAGGTTAGAGGCCATTGTCCTCGCCCTGGCCAGTATCTGTAAGAGAGGAGGTAACACTCGCCTTTCTAGGGCTGTCATTCATCCGGCAGCAAGCTGACATGGGTCATATTTGTCAGAGCCAAATCATTGGAATCTGCTGCATCATCATCCATAGCAGGAAAGATCTTTCTCTCTTACTCACCGTGGTACCAATTGGCCTGTTTAACCTGTTCTGCCAAACTGAGGAGGAACTGCTGTCCCTTGGATGGAACATCTTGCTCTGTCTAATGCTGAGTGGAGGGGAGATTGACTACACAATGGGAAAGCAGCCCCCTGTGACTAACCTCTCTAGATGACAACCTTTTACCTTCTGCAACCTTGCTCTGCCCTGCCTCTCTTCAGCCTGAATTTCCAGAACTCAAGTTTTTTGTTGTCCTTGTTGTTTTGTTGTTGTTGTTGTTTTGTTTTGTTTTTTTGAGACAGGGTTTCTCTGTGTTGTTTTGGAGGCTGTCCTGGAACTTGCTCTGTAGACCAGGCTGGCCTTGAACTCACAGAGATCCGTCTGCTTCTGCCTTCCTAGTGCTGGGATTAAAGTCGTGAGCCACCAACACCCGGCTAGAACTCAAGGTTTGAAAGCAGCCAGATGAGCTGCCCAGGTAAAACTCAAAGTGAGTTTTCTGACTGCATCTTTGACTTCATTTCAGAATTCAGCTTCTTCCTGCCCGTTCCTCTCAAATCACCCCTTAAGACTTCTATTTTGCCAGCTCATTAATCCAATTCATACTGATCAGGCACATCTCAAGCGTCCAATTTTCTATTTTTACACAGGCTTTCTGTGTTGAATGAGACAGACCAGATCTGTTTTGTTTTTGTTTTTGTTGGTAACCTTCACTGTAGAAGGGAAGCCACACCCATTGCCAAGGATTGGGATTCCACCTCCACAGAGTTCCCTGGCCTTTATCTAGATGTTACTGAATCAGTTTTCAAAGGTTATGGGCATTTCCAGTCCCACACTGTTGACTTTCAGTCATGCCCTGACAGCTACTGAAACGCAGCACATTGTGGGTGGGACTTGCCTGTCTTTCTCCACCTTCCTGTCAATGTTATTGTCATCTCCTAGTGAATAGGCACAAAGCCCTAATGCCACCTTGGTTGGCTCATCTCCAAAAGCCCCAATGCTGTACCCAGTTCTATCTATTCTTTTCTCTGGGCAAATGCTTTCCCCATCTGTCATTTCCTTTTCTTGCCCAATGCCAGGTTCCGATCCCTATCTCAAGCCTGGGTCATTGTAGCTGCCTATTAACATAATCTTTCCAAGTTTCTAGAGCATGCTCGCCATTGCTGTAGATACTCTGTAGTTCAGCTTCTATCCTTCTGAAACCACCTGTGAACCAGCCTCTCCTCCCTCCTCTGAGGATGTGGGATGTATTTCTTTCTAATGCCACTAACCCCTTGGATTCTTTCTCCTCCTTCTATCCAAGATTTCTCTCCTTCTCGGAAGTGGTACAAAAAGATGGTGTCCATGATGATGATTCTGAAATCAGAAACACCCTGTCCAAAACTTTGTCCTCTGATTAAAAGCTGTGCCATCTTAGGATAGCTCTGTGCTTTAGCTTTCTTTCCAATAAACTGAGAGCACTTGGTTTTCAGTAGAGTTTTAATTAGTGAACTAAAGAAGGCTATGGAAAGGACTATGAACTTAGCAGAAAACCTGTACATCATGCAGCTGGAATTCCAGGTTTCTTTTCTAGTAAAGATAATGTCCAAGTGCCAATACAACTGAAAGAGCTCCTTACACATCCGAAGTCACAGATTGCCTGGTAAGGAAGAAGCCATAACCATGTGTTTTCTTGCACATCTCCCACATATCTGGATTTCATGCATATGTGGGAACCATTGGGGCTGCCATCCTTGCAGTTGGCCATTTAATGGATATCAGCGTTCCTATGTTCAAAGACAAGTATTCCTACAGACTCATGTGTCTCCTAATAAGTCACCATCTCTCTTTCCCAAAACTCAACTCCTGTATTCCCTGTTCCTCACACTGACTTTCCAGTAAGTTCTGAGTCAGGCAAGCCCACCCTTCCTGCCTTGCTGTCCAACAAGTCACAAGACCTGTTGGTTCACTCCACACCACTCACTGGAATGGAGGAGGCAGGTCCTCAGTGACATCATCTATTTGTAAACAGTGCATACAACGCACTGCCTCTCAGCAATCACAGAGTCTCAGAGCCGGAAATGACAGGCAGAGTGGGACTGTCCTTTGGAGCTTCCCCAACATGGGATGTCATCTGGACTCAGCTTTAAACAGCAACAGCATGGATGAATCAATGGTGAACTTATGACTTTGCCCACAAGCAAATACCTTCAGCAGCTGGTTGCTGGGCAGATGCCACCATAGAGCTCCACAGTAAGTCATTGGGTCATTGATGCAGAGCAGTCAAGGGACAATTTCCTAAGAGCTTGGGTGTGTCCAAAGAATCCCAAGTGTCCCTTCTTCCGGGTAGTGGTGGTTTCCAAGATTGCAGTAGATCATGGCACCGAGTGGATCCCATGGACTGTGATGGCTCCAGATCTCAGTTTAAATCTCATTCCCTTCCTCATCTTCAGAGACCTAGGACATTCACTGGCTGTGAAACTTTGTGCCAATTCCCTGAAGTCTCTGAATGCCAGTCTACTCACACTTGAAAAATTGAGGGAATTAAAAGATGTTTTTGAGGTTATTAAGGAAAAAAATTTATATATATACTGTGAAACAAAATTAGTGTTACACAAATGGGGGCTATTTAGTGCTATTATTACCATTATTATACTGTCCCTTCTGAACCTAGAAGACACTAGGCTAAGGGGCCTTACCTAAAATGAACAGTAAACTCCACGCTCACAGAGCTGCCTATGATAGTGCGGTTCACTCCAATGGTGGCCGAAATGACCAATTCCTGGCCATGCCTCAGCTGCATAGATCTGGCCTAAAAGAGGGTGAGTCCCTGGCTCCTGGTAGGCATAGAAAACGTTATTACCCAGCAAGCAAAGGTCAATGGTCTTCCACCAGAAAAACTAGGGTGTTGTGAGGAGGAAGATGGGGAGGGGAAAGGAGTGGAGGGAAAGGGATAGGAAGGAAGGAAAGAAAGGGAGGAAGTAGAAAAGAAGGGACGAAGGAAAAATGAAAGAAGAGAAAGAAGTTTGTGCAGGACTGAACTCGAAGCTCCACAAGTTGCCAATCCAAACCAGAGTCCCTGAGCCACCTAGTCCTGATGGGAAAGTGTTGAGTCAGACTGGGGTGGGGAGTACAGAGGCAGGGGGTTGCTCTGGGGAGGAACACAAGGTTGTTAACCACTTAGGGCAGACCAAGCTAAGCACAACAATTAGAAGAATGACCTCTGGAATCTGGCAGTCACCTCCATCTTGCAGGCATACCGAAGTGACTGAGCTTAATGTCAGTTTCTCTTCTGTAAAACAGACGCGGCAGAGCCCACCTCAGTGAGTCATTTCACAAAGTAGATGAGACTGCCAACGCCGACACCTTAGAATACGCAGAGCAGTTCTTCAGGCTTGAGCCTTCCAGGGGTAGCGTAAAGGGCAATAAAACTAGGGAAATGAAGGCACGGATAAAAGAATAAACAGGAAAAGAAGCGTTCATAGGAGGTAGAAGCTTTATTATGACGTCTTCGGAGGACAATCAAATCAGCTGAACAATTTTGAACACTGCTGTGCACAAGCCCCTTGCCCATAGCATGGTCTGAGGTCCCTCCCTTGACTTGTGTATTCCCCGGGAAGAAAATCAGCATGAGGGGACAGGACTGAGAAGCGCGTGAAGTTTCTGAGCATCCAAGTGTTAGGAGGACCGAACTCCAAGACCGGTCCTGCCTATTACTACTACGGAGGACAGGGTGGGAGCCGCAGAGAGAGGGGCCGCTGTAGAAAGCCAGCTGCTTGGGCGCAGCTCCTTGGGCTTTCAGCAGCCACCGCAGCAGCCAGAGCTCTGGTTGTTGCAGGAGCGTTGGCTTCCTCCTCCGCAGCAGCAGCTACTGCGCTGCCGGCGGCGCCTCCTGGGAAAGCAGCAGCAGCCGGTGGAACTGGAGCCGCAGCAGCCGGAGTCACCGCAGCAGCCACCGCCCCCGCAGCAGCCGCGGCCACAGCAAGAGGAGGAGGGCGCTGGGGCAGGAGTCGGGGCGGAGCAGGGGGCGGAGCTCTGGGAAGACCCTTTGGAAAAGCCTTTGGCGCCCTGCTGAGACATCGCGGCGTTTGTCAAGGCAAATCTGAAAGAGAGACAATCTTTCAAAAGCCTGCCTTTTTTTTTCCCCCAATAGAAGAAGTCAGAATTTTTGACTTTTGCCTTAAAATAATTCAGTCTGGCTTGGAGCAAGAGGGTTGAGAGAATCAAAAGAAAAGAAGGGAATCAAAGAAACAAACCCCAAACAGGTGCTTCTGGGCTGCAGAGGCACAACCCAGGAAACAGAATATGCAAAGAATCAATGCAGTTTCCCTAACTGGCATAAATAAGGCCCATCCAAGGTCTCCATGGAAAAATAAAGAGGGTATGGCTGCAGTGTGTCTGCACGAGTCAATCAAAGATCTCCTAGCTCTAGCCCTTTCCCCTCTTGTACTTGAACCACATGGCTTTCCAAGTGGTGATCTCCATCCATGTGGTGTAATTATTTTATCCGTCAGAAAACACTCAAACACCATCTGCGTTCCCACCCCCTCTTCAGTATAGAGACTCTGAAAACACAAGAGCATGTCCCGCCCCTTCTCTCTTATCTGTCTCCCCCCCCCCCCACCATTATAAAGTAAAGGCAAGTCATGTCAACGAACTAGAATAACATAACCAGGGAACCTAAAGACCTGGGTTCTAGTCACAGTTCCTTTACAGAAAGGGGAACCTTCCCAAGGTTAGCACCATGCCAGGCCTTTTCGTCTTCATAGGCAACACGAAAGGCTGGCCCTCTAGAAGTTCAATTCCAGGGCTGTCTTCCCACAGCTAAGTTCTGGCTGTGTCCTACCTCCTTCCTTCCATCTTCCCTCTTCCCAGCTTCCTCCCCACGACCTTGCTTGGATACTTACTAGACCTTGGCTCCACGGGAAGGCTCACTCAGTTCTCCAACTGGAACTTGCCACCTGCTAGGCAGAAGACTGAAGAGTGTATGGTCAGAGAACCTTTTATAAGATTCCAAAAAGTCGGGTCCTTGGGAGGGGCCCATTTCTCAACAGACATGCTCAGCTGACACTTACATCCCAGAGGCATTCATCACTCAGACAGCACTGTAGGTGGTGCACGTGGATGTCCAAGTCACTTCACAGAGGTGCCAGGATTGCTGCGCTGTGTTTACTTTCCAAACAGGACACTGTTCATAGCTGGGAGGGCTGTGTGCATGCTCAGAGGAGGCCCAAGGCTCAAAGGAAGAGAAGTTTGGGGTCCTTTCTGCTCTCTTAAGCACCACACACATACACACACACATACACACACACACACACACACACACACACACACACAATGTCATGAGGAAGAGAACGCATGCACCATTCCACTTTCTCACTCACTATTCATGTGTAGCCATCTCCTTATCATTTATTGTCTTATTTGCATCTCTATGGCCCTGCATGGCAAGCTGCTGGCTGTGTGATAAACTGTCTGGGTTTGTCTAGACACTTCTAGAGATAGTTGAATGAAGATGTTCGTGGGGATGGAATGCCCCACTGTTGACAAGAAGAGAAACCCAGGCGAAGTTAAGGGACCATTAAGACCGAAAGAAGTCACTTTACAGTATTCCCATAATACAACCCTGGCGAACCTCAGACAAAAATGGTTGAGGGGTGTGGGCCTATTGAAAAATAGCAAGCCAGTCCATGGACTTCTGTTTCTGATCTTATCTCCCTTAAGGATAAATTTTCCCTGGGATTACTGTCAAAGACGGAGGGGGGGGGATAAAAGAACAGATGGTGTTTCATTAGATTTTTAAAACTGGAGGAAGCTTTTGTGGTCAACTGCCTCCAAACTGTCTGTCAATCATTGCCACTATGTGTCCATAACAACCATGAGGATGAGACATAAGAGAATCTAAGACTAAGAATCCAGGGGTTAAGAGTGAGAGACAGGCTTTGGGGTGCATGTGCCAGTTGTGGCATGAGGAAACAGACAAGGAAGGACAAGTCATAGACGATACCCATTTCATTTACCGGGGCTTTAAAGCCTGATTAACAAGTTGCCTGCTGTACCTAGAGAGAGGTGAGACATTCCAAAAAATGAGATCAGTGTTAGAAAAGGGAAGGAAGTGGTGAAGTAATAATGTAGATGCGGGTTCTTCTCTGGAAAACTATGTGAAAGGGGAAGGAAAAGCAGAGTGACAGGAATCAACATGAAGAGAGATCAAGTAGCTACCGACTGAATGGACCTCTTACATCACTGTTAACTCTTCTCAAAGGACGGGGTACCTGCTTATCTTGTTTAGGAAAGTTGACTTGCAATTATCTCTTTTTATCAGAAACATTTTCAGTATCTCCTGAAGAAACCATCCCAATCTCAAAGGAATATTACATCAACACCCAAGCTCATTGACTGAAGCTCTCTTAGCTCCATGAACACACATGCACACACACACAGGCATGCATGTGTGCGCACATGCGCGCACATGCGTGCGCGCGCACACACACACACACACACACACACACACACACACACCACTGTCACCACCACCACTATGTGCAGATAATCTTTGGCTGACATGACATCTTTGTACTCTATTTAGACCCAAACCTAAAATTCTAGAGTCCAAGAAAACATTTCACATTTCACAGCTGTCTCCTCAGCTAGTGCCTCTAGAAACACTGCCCACTCCAATCTCCCGTGTGTCCACTAATAGTAATCAGAACGCAGCGTGTCTACTCACTGGAGTCCACAGTGAGCACTCCAGGCAATCTTACTCTTCATGATTAAGCTCTCTCTTGAAGGACACCGTCTCAGAATGGGGCTCTTCTGGGTACTGCCAGCCTCATCTCATCCCACTCCAGCCCCACTTGTGCAAACTGGTAAGGGGCACAGGTCTCAGGCATAAATGCTCATTTCCAAGCTTGAAGTTCAAAGCACTAAGTGAACACTGGTTCTCAGAGTTCTTAAGTGGAGTCAGTGCCAAAACATACACTTTAAATAAAGAAAGGGAGTATGGCTTGGTGTGGAGAATGGGGATGGAAGGGCTAAACGAAACAGCATTGGGAGGCCGTGACATCATGAATCAAAAGCTTTATTGTTACCCAGAAAAGAACTACAGAGCTGATTTTTCAACATCTCATCCCCAGACTGTTGTGTCTGAGAGAAAAAGCAAAGCCAATGAGTCTCAAAGGTGAGACCTCAAGACCTCCCGGTAGATGAGTTTTGTGGGGATGAAGAAAGGGCAAAGGGAGCGTTACAGAAGTGTTTCTGCAAGAAAGAAAGCCAGCGAAGAGGAGATGCTGGCTGGCAGGTCTTCCTTCCATCAGGTCAGCACTGATCGCCATGGTCCTCTTCCCCAGGTTAGCAGCAACCTCCAGAGCAGCAGCCAGAGCCTGAAGACTGCTGGCTGCTGCTGCCGCCGCCACCGCTACTGCCACAGTAGCTGCTGCCACTGCTGCCGCCACTGCTGCCTCCACTGCTGCCGCCACAGCAGCTGCCACCACCACTGCTGCCTCCACTGCCACCGCCACTGCTGCTGCCACCACAGCAGCTGCTGCCACCACTGCCGCCGCCACTGCTGCCGCCACAGCAGCTGCTGCCACAGCTACTGCCACAGCAGCTGCCACCACTGCTGCCTCCACTGCCACCGCCACTGCTGCTGCCGCCACAGCAGCTGCTGCCGCCACTGCTGCCACAGCTACTGCCACAGCAGCTGCCACCACTGCTACAGCATCCAGAGCTGTGACGTCGGCGACGGAGGGAGAAGCGGGGCCTGTGGTGGCTCAGGCAGCAGCTGCCACCCCCAGAGCTGCAGCAGCCCCCGGAGCTGGAGCCACAGCAGCCACCAGAGCTGGAGCCACAGCATGATGAGACAGGAGGGCACTTGGGAGTCTTGCACTTGGGAGGAGGCGGCGGGCACTGTTGCTGGCTCTGCTGACAAGACATCTTAAAAGGAACTGGATAAAACTGAAAGATAAAACAGGAATTTTAAGTTCAACAAGCCCAACGTTGCTTTGAAGACTGAACTATGATTTCACAATATTTTACCTCTACGAGGATTAGACCTTTTAAAACCCAATCTCCTACACTCATTCCCAAAATAAAAAATACAAAGATCCCAATATAGGCACTTCATCCTTTCAATGAATTCATTGTAAAGTCAAAAAGTTACTAATCACAATCTTCCATTACCTTCCCCTTTCAGACCATCCCTTCTCTCCAAACCCCTTTTTTCCCTTGTTCATTTCCAAGATTGCCCTCAGCTCCACCCAGAGACACTTTCTGCCCAGAAAACCAGCACCAGAGTCTCTCCGGTCTGGGAGATGTTCTACCTTTCACAGGCACTGGAAGAGATTGCCCAGGAAGTAATGGACTGAGGTGCTGTGAGAAGCTTCTGCCTTTTATATAGTTCTGCTCTGACCTGGGATCCTCATGTGTGGGATACTGATAGCATCTTTCATGAGGATTGTGGATGACTACCTCCCCTTACATCCCAAGGACCCAATTCCTCCCTCTTTAAGCATCTGAGGTATTAATGCACAGAAAGAGCCTCTGAGAATTGCAACCTGTACGATGGTGGCAGAACATTGCACACTACATACAGCACCTGTCTGTCAGTCTCAAAAGCAGTTCTGCTATGCTCCCTATTTCCTGCACTAACGCAGACCAGTCTAGGCCTCAGAGGACAAGGGTATGATCTCTTTGTTCCCTAGAATAGGAAATGGAGGGGGGCATTCCCAAAATGGGGGATAAATGATGCTTTTAGAATAAGGACATGTATCCAGAATAAAAACCCTGGACCTAGTCAATGAACTAATATGGCTCTCTTCATTCATAGATGGTGCCATGACCTTGACCAAGAATTCTAGATATTCTGATGATGCTATTTCAGGCAGTTCTGTTGCAGATGATGTAGGTAGTTGGGATTCTCTCCTTGTCAGAATTTGACATACCAAAAAAGTCCGTGAGCATTTGCACTGACAGATCCCTCCAAGTGGGCAGAAGTTGTTGAAGGCCCTGTTTCTCTGAATGGTCCTTAAGAATTCACCTCAGGCTGACCAGAAGTAGAGGGACCAGGTGTATACAGAGGGTGAAGCCAGAGGAGAAAATTCAATTGAAGTTACCAGAAGTGGACCTTCAGCTATGGTCATCCCAAAGAGAAAAGCTGAGAAATCCCTTTTCTCATAAATGGCCTTGGTGGTGAAGGGAGCTAGTGGATTGTGCAAGGAGCTTTTGATGGAATACAAAACTTACCTTCTCTACAAAGACAGTTCCATGGGTATGTTAAATCCCCAGGAAAGTCAACATTGATTTATCTGGGAGATTGGTCATTAAGTGTCAAGTTCATAATGAAAGGTCCCGGGGGAGAATGTAAGACTGAGAGAGCTTCCTTGTCTGGGGTCTGTGCCTGGATGGATGGGCTGTGGTGGGAAGCACCATGGCTCAGTCATAACCCACATTCCAGGACCAGCTTTCTGCTTTGCTCTCTCCACCCATGCATTCTCAAGCAACTTGCTTAATTGCCCCTGTAAAACTGGGCTAATAACAGTTCCTAGCCAACTAAGTAAGGCAATCCAGGTAAAAGGCTCAGATCAGAGCTAGACCTGGGAGTATAAAGTATAACTTTAGAAAGAATCTGCATTGATGTGCTGATGTGCCAAGTGACACCTATCAATACACACAATCTATGCTTTTATGTATCAGCTTAAAAAATAAAAAGCTATGAAAAGCTATAGAATTTCAGAAGTAAAAATAATCAAATCACTCTAGATCCCATTACTTCTGAAAGTTTATTCTCAATATCAAACTAGTGATCTGCCTCTTTTTGCAACCAAAACCATGTGAGATGAGGAAGGAAGGTTATCTCAAAGAGCCATTTGCAAACTGAGCTAATAGTCATTAAGCCCTTGGAATAATGCCTAGCACATAACAACAGCCCTGACGCCACACGGACTTTCTGATAACAAAAGATTAAGAGTATTTACTTGACAGTGGTAGATGAGATTATACTCATAAAAAATAAAGCCACTTGTAATTCCATCCCCAAATATTTCACTTTCTTCCTTCCTTTAATTTTTATGATGTATCATTTTAGTTATCTGGTTTTGCATTGATTTTTTCATTGTTGCCATCATACTATTTATGTAAAGGGTTTTTCTGTTAAATTTTCAATTAACATTTTACTGGGAACATTCTTCCATGTAGTCCATTTGAAGTGTGAATGCCAGAAGGTAATTTCACAGTCAGCACAGAGTCTGGTCACATGATCAGAGACATTAACTTCTAAGACAGGCTCCATGTTTGAATCTCAGCTCCTCACTTACCAGCAAAGTGTCCTTGAACAAGTTATTTTAGCTCTCTCCCTCACTGTCCTTATGTGTGAAATGGAAAAGAAACAGCAATTATCTCCCAGGGTCATTTGCAGTGTAAGTGACTAACATTCATAAACCTCTTATAATAGTACCTAGCATATATAAGAAGTATGTGATAAGTATTAAGAAATGAAACTTGATACCATTCTACTTCTAAAAGTTCATAGCACAGGGGACAGATAGGGCTTAAATACCATGAGGTGGAGAAACAAAGAGGCTGCTTTAGTTGCTAGGTCTCAGCAAGATCCCCCCCCACGCACACACCCCAGTAATATAAGAAGAATCCATAACACTGCTCAAATTTCTAGAAAAAAAAACTCAGTGGAAACTAAAGAAATCATTTGTCTAATACATAAGTATGGTGAAATTTAAAAGGAGCAAGGCCCATCTACTTATAGTTATCTGGGTATGTATTACCCGGCTGACCATGCAGGTAAGGTCTTTGAATTCAGAACACTCTGAGAGACATAACTTGGTGCTTTGTAGGCAATAGATGCTCAATTTTTATTTCCTCATCAGGTTGAATTTGCCATTCAGAAAAGAGGACAGATGTTTCTAACAAACCTAGACTAAGATTTCTTTTAACAACTTTCATACAATTCACAGAATGACAGACTCTCTGGGTAGGATGTTGACTGTTGTTCATACATGGTGATTCTCAACCCTAGGGGCCACAACATTCTCTAAGAGCTCGCTAGGTGGTTCTAATGCAAATCAGGTCTGAGAATCATTGGTTTAGGTCAAAAGACTCAGGCAAAGTTAGAGAACTTTGAACCCAACCATCAACTGTGTCACCCTCACAGCACTCTGCCTTCTAGATGAAAATTTAGCTCTTCATGTTATTTGTTTTCCTAACAAGAGTTGCTTTTAAATGGTCATCTCTCTAAATGTGTGGGCTCTATGGCTGGCATTTGAAACCATCTTGGGGAAAATTAATATCTCTATGGAACATTTCCTTTTAATCACTTATTCCTGAACCAATGCCATGTGATATACACAACATTTACACTGTACTTGGTATTTTAGACAATCTAGATATTATCGTAAGTATATTAGAAGAAGCATATAAGTCAATGCAAATAGTTTTCCTTGTATATAAGAGACTTGAACATGATGGAGGGGCAAAGTGGGATCCACAGGAAATCCTAGAGCCAATCTCTGAGGATGCCTGGAATTTGTTTACTAAATATGGCTGTCAATGTTGGACTGAAAACAGTAGTAACTATGGTAATTCACAAACTGAAAAGTCATCATGTCCTCTACTTCCTTCAACAACTAAGAATGAAGTTTCTGTGTGAAAAAGATTGTCAGGGAGGGACCATATGGCAGGCCCCAAGGTGCCTCCTCCGGGCAGCACCACTGTAATGACTCTCCTGTGGCTCAGAAGTCAAGCCTTGCCCACACCTGACTTATCACTGCATCTAACTCACAAGAGATTAATGACATCAATGAGATCCAAATGTGGTCCTGACAAGTACATCTTCTTCCTAGAGGAAAACCCCTGGAAGAAGCAGAAGTGGGAGTACAATCTGGACATCTTAGCAGGAGGCTGCAAAAGAACCTCAGACCTTGATGGTGAACAAAACTAGTCTGTCCCATCACTCATATGGGCACTTCCATTCTTGAACTGATAAGGAGGGTGATACTTGAAAACCTTCCTCTGACTTCCCTTTCTCTGTTTCTCTGTACCAGTCCTGCTCTGGGAACTGATTCTAGGAGGCAGGGACTAGGCACAATGTCACTCTCACCCTCCACATGCTGATCCAGGTTCTGACATTGTAAAGGTGACTTTGTTTATCTTATTTTTAATACTCATGATTGCCTTTTGTGGCCTCTGCAAGGCAATGATGCCCACCCACCCCCATTCCTTAAACCCGCAAATGTATTACCTTAAAGCAAAAGGGACTTGGCATGTTTGACTAAGTTAAGAGTCTTGAGGTGGGAAGACTTTCTTGGATTGCACAGGTGGGCCTAATGTCATTATGACAATCCCTCTAAGAATCAAGCAAGAGGGTCGGAATCAGAGAGAGAAGCTATGGCAAGGGAAGCAGGTATTGGAATGAGGCATTTTTGAAAATGTAGGAAGGGCCCACAAGCCAAAGAATGTGGACTACCTCTGGAAGCTGGAAAAAACAGAGAGTTTTCCTCTTGCCACAGCTAAGGGATATCTGGGTAGAAAGATCTCTAGAAGTTCCACTACGAGGCAACAAACCCCATTTTCTTCTTCCTTGGACACTGCTGTCTCCAATAAATGAATGTTTGAGACATAGGCATAAGTGTGGACGCCAAAGGCTGACTCACAGCTGCTCGGAGACCCAGGTGTCTGTATGAGTGCTTTCTGGAAAGGCTCCGCCTCCGGGCCCTAAGCCAGTCCAGCTCAGCCTGGCAATGTGTGCCTAGTCCTTGATCTCTGGGATGCTCCTAGCCAGCTGTGGGTTATCTTCTCTATGAAGAACATTCCTGTAGCTGGAGCCTGAGGCAGGAATGCCCTAGGATCCTCTGGAATGAGTAACTGGAGAAAGGAGGATCCCTTCTCTTGGAGAATAAATAAATACGTGAGGCAGGCACCCAGAAAGAATAAAAATAGCCAGCGAGGCTCCCAGGAGCTCGTGCACTGGGGCATCTTGTTTTCCCAGCTGGGGATGAAGTGGCATACTCAGGTGCAGTGGGGAGGGGCTGGCTGCACAGGAGCCACGTGCACCAAGGCAGCAGCAAAGACTTCACTGTCCAGCAGGTGACACTTCCTCTGGGGAGCTCAGCTGACTCTCACAACTGCACAAAGCTTCATGTCCTTGTTTGCTCTTGTCAGAGGATTAGCAGAGATTTTTTAAAATACATAGTTACCACTGGGAACCTGCAGAAAGCCAGGCCTGAGGTAAGCAGTGAGATGGCAGGGTGATACCCTCCGCCATCACCCACTAGGAAGCCTAAGAGTCACCATCCCAATAGAGAGTTCCCACTGAACTGTAAGGGGAGCAGACTCTGATGGGTAGGGAAAAAATCAGCTAAGGTTAATTAGACGAATGGGATATACAGTGAGTTACAATAG